TCTTGGTTAAAATGTCTTTCACATATATTTTTGTAGTTCCACTCTCTTTTTTATTTATTTTTTAAGAAAGCTTTCATATTTTCAAGGACACTGTTGATAATAATGCAACTCTATCACTTGAAATGCACAATTAATAAGTGACTATGCTGTGATAAAACAACCATTTCTTGTAAAGAAATGTTACAAAAAACAAATGTGATTTATTTTTTGAATTACAAAAAGGGGAAAAAATCACAACAATTATTTCTGATATGCATCATGACGTCAATTATATTTTTTTTGCAAGCTCCTCAATAGCCAGAAACCTTGGGCCATTTAGGCCTGGCATTAATCAATCCCTATATACAATATATGTAATACTGCAAAATAAAGATAGAAAATACTTGATCCTCAATTGATGTAAAACAATCTAGCCACAGCTTTAATTTTAATCCTAAGATTAGAATTCAAAAGCAATATATATGAAACAAATTAATTTTCAAGGTAAGATAATTTGATGGATTTAAAATGGAAATTAATACATTTTGCTTCTCAAACGTGTTTTAAATACACGTAAGTAAACTCTGTTCGGGAACAATGGAAGGCAAATAAGTCTACTTTAAACTCATGTCTAGTGGTCATTTAATTTCCAAAGGAAAATAAAGAAGCTGTTTTGCTCATCTAAGTTCTCTTATTTTGTTGTACTAACTGTACGTCAAACCACATAAACCATCTTTTTATATCCAACCCTGATCACTAAAATACTCAAACTTCTTCATAAACTTTCTCAATGTTACAACTCCTACCACACCTAAAGGCAAGCTATTCCACAAGCCAACTATTAGAACTAACAAAGCAACAATCCCTTAACTAGAATCATGTCTGAATTTATCACACTTTAAAACTGATGTTCACTTAACTTTAGTAATGCAGATTTTTTTTTAACATCATCTGGATATATGGCTTCTAATTTTCTAACAATCATAAAAAACTCAATAATATCTTGTCAAACCTTTCTTCTCTTTAATGAAAAACATGTTGAAGAGATTTTAACCTATTCTCATAAGATAACCCTTCTAAATATGGAATCATCATGGTAGCTCTTCTCTGTACCCCCTCAACAACACAACATCGCTTCTTAAGTACAATTACAAGTAAGTTGACCAAAACAAGACAATATTTCAAATGAGATCTTCCCAACACCTTCCAGAATAAATTGATAGTCTCCTTCAGTTTACTCTTAATATTTTTATATACACAACCTAAAATCCTGTTTGCCTCATTAGCATTCTAGAGATAATGTACTTCAGCTAGTTAAAAGACTGTAATAGATATGCCCAGATCTTATTATTCAACTTCACCTACAGCTTCTCCTGCAGTGCTGTAAGAATAACTAATGTTGAGATAAACAAAGTACATAGCTCTACTTTTATCAAAATTAAAATCCAAATCAAATTGCAAACCCTTGAAACCCATTAACTTTAATATCAGCAAATTTCACAAACTTACTGGTTATTCCTTTATGAATGAGGACTAGCAAAAGACTTAGCATAGAATCCTGTGGTGTACCACTTGTAACATTGATTCAATGAGACTTTGTCCTATTTAACAACATTGTGCCTTCTACCACTAAATAGCTTTCTATCTGTTTAAATAGATCATTTCCCACCCCAATATATGCAATATTTGACAAAGAAGTCTCTTACGTGGTACCTTATCAAAATTTTTCTGAAAGTTGAAGTACACCAACTTTACAGCACTTTCTGGATTAAATGAAACATTTTCAAAAAAAGTTTGCAATTTTGTAAGATATGATCTTCTCTTTCTAAATCCACTTTACAAAATACTCTTATAGAATTTTTAAAATTACAAAATATAGTACTTTCCCAATGACTGAAATAAGACTAACTGGCAACTACTTACTTGAACATTATCTATCTCACATCTAGGTTTATGTTCGAAGGTTCATTAGGAAGTATTCAAGAAGTGTAATTCTATTTTTATCTATTGTTAACAGAAACCCTTTGACAATGTTGGAATAGTAATCATACAATAAATGTCACTCGTATGGAAATTTGATCTTTTGACAAAAGCTGTGTATTAAAAAAAAAACGTACACAAAAACATTACATGAAGCAGATTCTTCCATGCATTGCAGCAGACCATTATCACAAAGCACCAGAAGGAGAGGGGGGGGGGTACGATCTACCTGCTGCACTGCTTCAATAATATGTACTTAATGCCCAGTGTACAAGATATACAAGGGTCCATATTCATTTTTTTAACCAAAATTTTATTGTTACCTTGTTCTGTTTTGCTGTTTATTTATAATTATTTCTATTATTAATTACTTACTTGGCTGATGCCTTTATCCATGTTTAATTAATCAACAGTACAGTTAAAAAAATTGTGACTGATAACAACATACTCTTGTTTGTAACTTTTTGCTTTAGTTGAAAGTTTGTATTTATTTCCTAATCATATTATTAGTGCTACTCCATTCTGTTTTGCTGTTTATTTATGTTTATTAGGTGTGTTTAATTTATCAACAATTTTATGTTAAAATGATTACGATTGTTCACTTGCTTTGAATGGTGACCATTAAATGAAGGTTTGTTTTGCTTAAGTCAACTACACTTCTTTTACTGGCCACATTAGGGTGTTCTTGTAATGCAAGCTTATTATATCATAAGCTTTCGGTATTGCATATAGCATCGATAGATGTATATCAACAACATGTAGTTCTTATTTTTATTTAAAATTAAAAAATTATTATGTTCTACATATATATATATATATATATATATATATATATAGTAGTAGTTATTTACTAACATATAGTTAAGTTGTAGTTACTTATTAGTAGTAACGTAACTAATTAAGTTAAGGTTATATATATAATAACTAG